ATCTCTGAAGAAAACACAGTTGATAAATATGTGTCCCACTCCTAAGACAAATATAATAAAACACAATTGTAAGGCTATGCATTTCTTTATACTAAAAGCATATGGTAGTTACGGTAGAAACAGAGAAGAGAGCAAGCTGGTGTTTAAAGGAAAACTTCAAAATAACTTCAGTTTAAAAAATGATGTGGATTTCCTTAGACTAAAAAAGGGGAGGGTATTTCAGTTTAATAAAATAGTATGCTAAAGGCATTGGGAGGACATACAGAGGTTTCATAGTTCAAGTAGTGAAATGGAGCAACAGTGTGTAAGGGCAAGTTTTGAGAGGTGAGTTTGAGAAGGTGCACTGGCAGCCTGAAAATGAAATAATTTTTATGTTAAATTAAAAAGCTATACATTACACAGAGACATTGGGAAATTCTTATCAGATGAATATAAATGAGCTTTGCATTGTAAAGCTAAACAAACACAGATGAAAAGTGGATTGGTAAATGTAAATAAGGGCTCCAATGCTAGTTTCAGAAAATAAGTTGATTTCAAGTCATTATTTTTTGAACTAAGACACCAGAAGTAGGAATAAAAGAGAATGGACTTAAAGATTTAAGGACAACAGATGGTATTTGAAAACTGCATGTGATGGCAGCAAGCGGTGGTTCAATTTTGAAATAGAGAAGGCAGGAAATTTACCTTTGATGGAGATAACATGCATGGAAGGAGATAATGAGCTCTATTTGGTTATATTAGAATTGAGGCATACATGGGGCATCTTTGAGTGAATGTGTAATAAGTGATTGAAAATAGACTGATAACACACAATGACAGGTCTTCTAGGGTATTTGGGAATTAATAGCATATAAAAGTAAACTTTTAAAACCAGAAGAGGGCTATTTCCTACAGAAATAATTTAGAGTGACAAAGCAACATGGCTGGAGCATAATAATATCTATTACACTTTAGTGACACCCAAGTGGAAAGAGCAGGCAAGAAAAAGGAGCTCGTGAGCCTTCTATGTAAGAGATTGCATGACTACTCTAAGAAGAAGTAACGAAGAACTCTTCAAGAATAGAGTGTTCTCATGAAGTTGCACTCATGAAGAAATCCAACAAAATAAAGACCAAAATTCCCTACTGGATTCACAAATTACAGTTCTGATTTAGTGTTCTCGGTGCAATGTAAGAACTCCTGTGTTGTAATATAAAACATTTCCTACCCACCTTTCAACAAATGATACTATATACAAAAATTACTTGGCTTGAGCAGATTTTACCATGTTTGAATAGAAACTCCAGGAAAAGACCCAAGTTCCAAATATAATCTCAAAATTATGCATGAATGGGAAGGTGAAATTTTTACACAATCTGATTAAGAACATAACATCTCTGGATATACTGAGAAGTACACTGACATCAATGATACTCTAAGAAAATTAGAAAATTCTAGAAAATATTATTGAAGGTCTCGGACAATGTTAACTAGATCTTAAGGTAAAAGACATATTTGCATCTGCTTTGCTTAAATTACGAGATTAGAAGCCAGGTAGCAATGGATGGAAGAATGAATAACAGAATTGGGAAAGTAAATGCAGTCAATTATGAAAGATGTTGAATAGCAAGGAAAGGATGGGGACAGGAATGAGAGCTCTAAGAAGAAGCAAGGTCTAGAGTGCATGTTTTCAGTGACTCTTTTGTTTTTCTTTTTATCTATGTGGGAGAAACGCAAACACTTTTAAACTACAATGTGAGTGACCAAACAAGTTGTGTTTACCACCTCACCCCTGTTAGAATAGCCATTATCAGCAACACCACCAACAACAGGTGTTGGCGAGGATGTGGGGAAAAAGGAACCCTCTTACACTGTTCGTGGGAATGTAAACTAGTACAACCACTCTGGAAAAAAATTTGGAGGCTACTTAAAAAGCTAGACATCGATCTACCATTTGATCCAGCGATACCACTCCTGGGGATATACCCAAAAGACTGTGACACAGGTTACTCCAGAGGCACCTGCACACCCATGTTTATTACGGCACTATTCACAATAGCCAAGTTATGGAAACAGCCAAGATGCCCCACCACTGACGAATGGATTAAGAAAATGTGGTATCTATACACAATGGAATTTTATGCAGCCACGGAGAAGAACGAAATGTTATCATTCGCTGGTAAATGGATGGAATTGGAGATCATCATTCTGAGTGAGGTTAGCCTGGCCCAAAAGACCAAAAATCATATGTTCTCCCTCATATGTGGACATTAGATCAAGGGCAAACACAACAGGTGCTGTTTTATATGTTTTATATGTTCATGAATTTATCTGATCTTAACATAGTGCTATTCATTTTCAATTTTATTATACAATATTCATATTCAAAATACCAATGTCTAGGCAGACTTGATTATCAAGTACTGTTTGTTTTTCCTAGTTCATATTACCTGATTCTACACATATATTTCTTTTATGCATTTAGGTCTTATATGTTAAGTTGCCCTAGGCCTTATTTTCATAAATGCAGAACTTTTTTGTTTTCTTTTCTGCCAGAAAAAGAATACCATGATTGACAGAATTCAATCCCTGGAGTAAAAATAACACAGCTGGCTTTTATCTTACATTAGTATGTGGAGCGAGCTTTTTCTCTTGTACCTTTGTTGCAGTGACCTTTCTCTCACTCCTGGTTATTACTGAACCTAACTGGGGCTAACTGGCGGTGACTGGAGATGCAGAACAGAACAGACACAGGGTAGACAGACAAGACAGACAGAAAGTGGGATCAGGTATGTTGGGCACTCTGGTGGAGAGGCACAACCCTCATTGTTTCTTTTCTCTATCTTTTTTCTTTAAGACCTTACTCCTTTACAATTCTTTAAAACTTTGCATCTAAAGTCTTCTTAAAATCCTTGCTTAAAACCTCTTTCCTTACACTTGCTCTGTCCCATGTTTCCTCTTAGCTGTTCTTTAGCATAATCTCTCAAAGTCTTTGCCCCCAGACTTGCTTTCTTAAAGCCTTGGTGCTCAGACTTGCAAACAACAGCCACCCCTTAAAACTGCATATGCATAACTACTGAAGACCTGGTCCTTAGATTTGCACTGTCCAATATTGTCTTTCGCTTTTCTTTCTCTTAGCATTTCTAAAGACTATGTATAAACTTCTTGGTGCAGACTTTCTATCAACGCCTCTTTAGCAATTCCCCTTTAGCAATTCTTTTCCCTTCCAAAAGCCTCCCACAGCAAAAAGCCAAAAGCCCCAGAGCCAAAGCAAAGAGCCCCCAAAGCAAAAACACTTCCTCCTGAAGTGTGTCTTATATCCCCAGTCTTAAACAGAGTGGAGCAGTAGTTCTCTGGGAGGGGCGTGACATCGTAACAGGAGAAATTTGTGTTCCTACTTCTCTGAATGTAAACAACATAGAAGAAGCAGCTGTTCTGCATTTCCCCTTTTGTATCTCGGCCTACAGATCATCCATTTCTTCTTTTACTACAATATATGATGACAATTGTCTCCTATGCTATTATTTCCTCTTGGTTTGATGGCAACATTCACTTTCCTTCATTTCAGCCCATACTTTTCCCGTACTTTTTTTTTTATCTTATGTTCATTTTCCAGACTTGTAACATCAGTTAGAAATGGATAAATATGAACAGGTGTACACGAAAGCAATGCTAGGAATATTTCTGTACAGCTATCCTTAGCTCAATCAGCAAAAACACTGACTTCCTTATTATGCTTGTCTCTTCTCTTCAAGAAAATTAGTGATAAAAGCAGAACAGGACCTGCCTGGAACTGAGGGGGGGGCGAGGGTGGAGAGGGTAGGAAGGAGGCAAGGGGGAGAAATGACCCAAACAATATATGCACATAAGAATAAATGAATAAAAAATGGATGAATATGTAAATAGTATTCATGGATAAACTTTCACTACAATACTTGAGTTAGAATAAGGTGAAGCACAAGACAGCACATCATTTCTCAATATAGCCCGTTGCTTCAGTAAGTAAGGTTTTATTGCAACACAGCTACATTCACTCATTATGTACTGCATATGACTGCTTTCATAACATAATGGTAACATTATGTAGGTTTAGAACGTCTTCATCCACAGAGCTTAAAATATTTACTGTCTCGCTGTTTAGATAAAACAAACCAAACCAAAAGAAAAACCCCAACAGGTCTCAGTTTAGGGAAAGTCAGACAACTCAACATACATATTAAGAATCGTAAATGTCCACCCTTCAGAATGTAGACCAACTGAAATATGTCTTTCTGATATAAAAGCAGTAGTCTTCTTTCAGCTACAGTGATTTCTTGCTAACTAATGCCATTTGGATTTGTGAGTCTATTGTTGCCATAGCTTCTGAGATTTAAGGAGAAAAAGATTATGTGTGTCATCAATGATAGGTATCATACCATCTAAGAAATTTTACTAAAAAATTACTTTGAGGAGAAAATATAGTCATAAAGTATATTCCAAAGCATGAGAAGTTTAGTTTGTCTAGATTCTAAAACATGGACATTTATGACTCTTAATATGTATGCCAAATTGCTCAAGACACATTATCTAGTTCAATTAATACGCAAATTTAAGTATACTGCAATACTAAAATATAATATGAACTACATTCCAAAACAATTTGTAAAAGTATCTTCTAACACATCACTGTACTGGACCCATTTTTTAATTTAGAGCAAAGAAAATCAGCTCAAATATTAGCATTCCATTAGAGTTCAATTAAATTTCCCTCCTTTAGGAGTACCACATGCTTCTTTTACAACACCCCTTTCCTGTGCAGCTAATAGCCAAGTAAAAACTCATCGTAAAACCTGGCCTAATCTTACTAGTACCCTACTCTTATGACTTGTGGATACAATCACACCTTTAGCCTCTTTGCAATTACAGGATACCTACCACTCTGCTAACTGTTGCCACATTAATCTTCCTAACACAAGGCTCAGATTAAATCATCACGATTTAAAGAAAAAGTCTAAATTATTAGCTTGGCATTCAAGGCTCACCTTGGTTCTCACCTCGCAATCCCATCTCGTCTTCCACCAATCTTTCACACATCTTACTGCATCTGTGTGAAGCCTGAGAGTTTATTGGGATAGAAAACCGCCAGGATTAGAGCTTCCAGAGTTGGGAGGGGACCCAAGAGAGGGTGCCCAATTCTTTAATTGTGATGGGGAGGGAAGTTCATTCCGTATCTCCCAACCCATGTCTTTAAAGACCTAAACCCCACTCATCTTCCAAAAGCATTAAGGGCAGTCACAGCCTTTTCCGATTAAGTGATTCCCAAACTGCCACTTTCCTTTCTGCCTGGCACACAAGGATCACACTCTACATTGTGCCATTTGCTAGAGCTCCGCTTCTCTTGTCCCTCTACGCCCTAGTGCAAGGCAGACGGATTTACCTTGGCCATTTCCGGAGGAGCGGACAGACGCACACGCGTTCCCCGTGTGAAGGGTTCCTGTGGAAGGAGAAACCACACGGCTGGTGACCTGCGCTGCGGCACTGCCCGCTACTTCCGGCGTCCCTCCCGCCGCCCCGGCCGAGGCCCGCGGTCCCGGGTCCACGCAGGGGTCTCCACACCCGCCAGGGCTGTCAGGCGACGGCCTCGCTAAGTTCGGGCTCAGGTGAGGGGCGAGGACGCGGACAAGCGCCCGAAGATGAACTCAGGGCGGCGGGGCCCCGTGGGAACGGGGACACTACCGCGAGCTGTGGCCCAAACACAAGGGAATGTGCAGGGGCTACCGGGGCTGAAACCGTGCGTTCCAGTCGCCACCGCCCCCGTCCTCGCCGCCGCCGCCACCGCCCCCGTGCTCGCCACTGCCGCTGCCGCCGCCCACGTGACTGTTCACGCCGGCAAGATGGCGGCGGCGGAAGCCGCAGATGAGCGTTGGCTCGGCCGCCTCCAGACCGAAGAGGTTGCTCCCGAGCGCATCGATGCACCGAGGGAGCGCCGGCCGTGGATGCGCACGCATCTCAGGTACGTCACGCGAGACGTCCTTGGATTGGCTAGGCCCGTATGGGGGTGGACCACTGGTGGGGGGACCAACTTGGGATGGGGGCGGGCTCCTGAGTTGGAGTAGGCGGGGCCTTTCATTCGGTTAATTGACTCCTTGATTCATTTGACAGATCTGTCTCCCGAAGCCTTCTTACTGCCTCCAGGAGACAGTCTTTGTTCTTTGTTTGATGGTTGTTTAGTTTTCATGAATCATTGCGTTTGAGCATAGGGCACTTGTCTTTTTCTCTTTTTGTTCTCAGCGCTAGACTCTCAATAGGCTTAGTTAATATAGCTGCCGCCTTATTTAGAAATAGCGTATTATTTTAATTCATCTAATATGCTTTTAAAATAGTAACTAAAGATTATACTTCGTTCACAATTCTTTAGTTTTTTATCTAGTGTCCTTTCAGTTCCAGGATTCAGAATACCAGTCACATTTAGTCCCCATATGTCGTAAGCCTGTTACTATGTGCAGCCCAAATGGTAGGAGTCCAAAGTTATGCTCCACCTCTTCCAGGGCAGAGATTCTTCACAGTTTAGTTGAAGTTCTACAAGGGAGATTTGTCTGTTCTCCATCATGTGTTATGTATTCGGCTCTTTATATTAATGTGGACTCGTGCATATTAATTTTACATTTGGGTCATAATCTAATACTACATTTTTGTTCAAAATGTTACAGTTTTGATAATTAGGATTTCTTTTACTTGGTATCTGTGCCTTTTTGACACACTGGCATAATTTTTTTCTTTTTTTTGTATTTTATTTTCCTTGAGCATTTCCTTCATTTCTGACACTACAAGATGCCCTAGGATCATCTTGTATTTTGCCTGCCCCAGTCCTAGAATCAGTCATTTCCCAAGGAGTCATGAGTGAGAAACTACTCCACCCATCTGTACCCATGTACTTTCTTGATCAATTCCAGTTTACATGTACAGTGAGTTCAGAACTGTTAATCTATATTCAGTGTACGTGTATGGTGGATACAAAATTTTTACCAGTTACACCTTTGGGAAACAGATTTACCAACTAAAGCACAATGCTTTGGTAGTGCTTTTGTTTTAGCCTTATAGACTCCACTCATTTCCAGAATTACTCAGGTCAGCAACCCCACTCCCTTCAATGAGATTGTTTCATACATTTATAATATAACTGAGTGTCTTTTCTCATAGTTCTATCATGAGATTCTTTAAGCTTTTAAGATTTCTTAAAAAGTCTTCATCTTAAAGATGAAGTTCTCCTTGTACACAATGTCATATATGCTCCATTATTATGATGTGCTTTGGAATACTTTTGCCTTTCTAAACAAAATCCCCTTTGCTTCCCCTATTAAACCTTCTCACCCCCACCCTGCAAGCACCCAACAACCACTGATGTATTAACTATCTCTGCAGTTTTGACTGTTCCAGAATGTTGTACAAATGGAATCATACGATATGAAACATTGCAAGACTGATTTGTTTTGTTTATAATTCTCACTGTTTTGGCTTCATGAAGCTCAGTCCTATCTTTCTTAATCCTGACTAATATCCTAATGTATGGATGTTTCCCTATTTGCTTTTCTGTGTACTGGGGTTTGAATATAGGGCCTTCATCTTGAGCAACTCCACCAGTCCTATTTTTGTGATGGGTTTTTTGAAATGTTTGCTGGGGCTGGGTTCGAACTGTTATCCTCCTGATCTCTGCCTCCTGAGTAGCTAGGATTACAGGTGTGACCACCAGCACATGGCAGTGTTTTATTTTCATTTATTAAAGACATTTCAGTTTCTTGTAGTTTTTGATGATTGTGTACAGGTTTTTCTGTGGACATGATAATACCTAGGAACACAATTACTGGCATATGTATTTTTATAAGATATTTGAAAACAAAACAGTTCTGCTAGATATCTTGAGCATTGTCCCTACAATCATATAAATAGTAAATGCAAGGAATCCTCTTCTGTGTTGGTAACCTAGAGCCAACTTCATTCTACCCCTGTCATAGAATAATAATGTCACCATTTTGTGAATCAGCCAAAATGGCAGCCCCGCCCTTAAACAAATTCCCGTGCTCTAAGACAGCCCCACCCCTACCAGAGACTACTGCGCATACCCCAACCTCCTTACCCTCCCCCTTCTATAAAAGCCACTGCTCGCCCAGGTCGGGGCTGCGCCATCTTTTCCCCGGCCAGCCTGGCAGTCTGGGCCTGCCATTAAACCTTGCTCTATGGACGGGAGACTTTTCTCGTGAGCTTTCTTTGCGAGCGGCGTTTTTCCTAACACCCTGTCCAATGACTATAATTAGTAATTTCCAAATTTATGGGTTTTACAAACCATATGCTATCTGACACCCATGCAGCTGTTCAAATCAGTGAATACTCAATCCCAGGTAAAGAACAACATCCTACTGTCTTAGCTAAGGAAATGCAGGGAAGAAGATTCTGACTTTCCTGGGAAATGGCCATCTGATGTCTTAAAACCCCTCACTTTAGGAAATTATCGCTGCCCCAGACTCCTTATGCTACCTGTTTAATTTTTTTTCTTTTCCTTTTCACTGTTGGTCAATATTGGGATGGAAAACAAAAATTCTTAACTTCAAATTGTGTTTTTTTTAAACTGTTGCTGTTTAAAGCTGAGAATGTATAACTGTAAAAATAGGCCAGTGACTAATGTCATTAGCCTATGCTGAGATTTGAAGTCAAAGGAGAATACATAGCCAAACTTAGTACAGAGATGAGAGAGAGAGAGAGAGAGAGAGAGAGAGAACACTTGCAGTAGGCTAGAGCACAAAAGGCTTCAGAGAAGAGATCACTAATTTGAGTGTTGAAGCTATTTACAACTCATTAATAATGTTTCTTGTGACTCATAATTCCTTTTCCCATTTGTCTTACTATATAGCAAAATTTCTGGTTGAATGATGATAGCAAGATTTTTGGCACCAGGAACCATATGTTATTAATCTTTGCTGTGATAGGAAATCAAACATAAGAGCAAAAAGGCAGTGATAACAGTATGGCAGGAGGCTTATTATCAGGAATAACTTCACAGTGAAAGTGATGCTTGAACTATGCTTTGGAAGCTGGGTAGGTGTTTACAAAAGCTAAGAAGAATTGTAGAAGGTTGAGGACTTCTAGGCAGTGAAAGCAGCATGAATAGAGGTGTGGACACTATAGATAGTGTGGACACTGTGGACAGTCACCTTTCAGTGTAATACTAAAGTAGATGTAATACAGAACCAATGAGAAGCCAACGGGCAGACTTATGCAAAGTCATGGCATCAGATTTGTGTTTTGAGAAGATCTTCTGGCTTTAGTATAGAGAATGGACTGGGAAGTTGTGGGGCTACAATTGGCTCAACTAAGTAGGAGACTTTTGCTGTACTATGAGAAAGATAAGACACTGAACTAAGGGCAGGAGGAAAGAGGAATCAACACATAGACATCTACTAGTTAGATGGAGAAAAGGGGATAGGTTGAAGATGACTTCTAAATTTTGTAGATTAAAGTACTTTGTGAATGGAGTTGCTTTTACTGAGATTGAGAATCAGCAATATTAAAATTTATAGATATATGCTATGTGGCAGGCACTTGGATAGGTATTTTCCCATTGCCTATTTCATTAGAAATAACAATGCAGAAAAGGAAGGTATTATTATCTTTACATATAAATGGCAAAATTAAGGCCCAAAGAGGTTAAGTATATTACTGAGTTTTCCAGGGCTGGATTTAAATCCACATCTTTTGGTTTAAAATAGTGTTTTCTTTCCCACAGGATACTGTCTCCCAGGAGGAGAATAAGTTTAGAAAGAAAGATAATGAGTTTGGTGTGGGATATTTAAGATGCATGATGGACAGTCATGTGGACTTGTCCAATTAGTTGTTTGAAAGCAGGCCTGTTGCTCAGGAAGTGGATTATGTGGGAAATGGGGATTTGAGGGTCATTAGCACAAGGGTAGTGGTAAAGCCACAAGGAATCTCTTAGTCTGGAGAACAGTGAGAGGTTTTGAGGGCTTGTAAAGTTTGTGAAACTCCTGAGATGTGTGTGAATTTGTCTGTATTTTTAAGTAGATCCATTTTTCCCTCTAAGAAGAAAGTGCATAGTTTCTTCAGATCCTTAAATGAGTCTGCCCATGAAAAGATCAAGGGCCACTATTGGAGAGTGTAAAAGGAAAACACAAAAGTTAGAACTTCTAAAGGGGTGACCAAAGAAGGAAAACTTGCAAGAGAGACTGAGAAGTTTATCAGAGAATATAAGGAAATCAGAGAGAGAAAGAGAACTCTAGGCATCAAGATTACTGCACAATATTATTAGATGGAACACAGAAGTCTTATTGAGGACCAAGAAAAGTCCTCAATAAGAGTCCTGTCTATTTGATATGTAGGGCAATGATGAGTTACTGAAGGAGTTTCAGTGCAGTAGTGGAGTACTGTGATATTCAGAAGATGAAGCATGAACCTCTGAAGACAAAGATTGTGTTTGTTTCCTCTCTGTTCCTCAGACTTCACTGTATTCTTACAACAGGTGATCAATAAATGTGTTGGAAGTTGACAGATGAAGACATGGTGGTGGCTACCATTAAAAACAGTTCTTTGTTATTTTATTTCCAGGCTCCATACTTACTTAGCATCTATCTTCCCAACAACTCTGCCAGATAAATAGTTTATACATTTCACAGACAAAGAAACTGAGCAGGTGTCAGATGTTAAGTAAACTGCTTGATGCAGTAGAACAGATACAGTGATAGGTGTGAGATTCGAAGTTTGATTTGTGTGGCTCCAAAATCTATTCTTTCCATGACACCAAAGCTGAAAAGAAGAGAGAGGTGACTAGCTGCCTTTCAAATGTAATTCCAATTTAACCTTATGCACTTGCTTTCTTCCTTTTACTCTCTCTTGTCTTGTTCTTATTCTTCAGAGCCAAAGCAGAGACTTCATAGAGCTGTAAAGGTTGATCAAAGTCCCAGATTATGAGATTATTCAGAGGCCAATATGTAATCCTTAGGGTTTTCTCTCTCACTCTCACAGCTGCCTGCATTAATGCCTTCTGATAAACATATGGGCTTCCTTTTTTTCTAAATACCAGTAGTTTTCTTCAACAAATGATGCACACTTAAGCAAACTAAGGAATATGTAGTCATCTTTAAGTGCTCAACCTGTAAAGACTATTGTATTGCAGTCTGATTTTCTGTAAAGACAATTATATTATAAAAGCAGAAGAGACAAGAGGAAACATTTTCTGCTCAGCTAAGCACAGCTAAAGCATATTAGCATAGCAATTTAAAGACAATATTCTGTGCTATTTTAAGGAAAGGTTTCTAGAGCTATTACTTGTTTGCAATAAAATAACATGTAAAGCAAGGTTAATAATAGGAATTAAAAAGTGTATGGGTAAAAAAGTAACAGTTTTGTTCTTTGACTTGATCACAAAATTCAACATCTGTTATGTTGCCTGCATGGATGCTCCAGTAGCTTTTTAGTATGTGATGCATAGGGACATGCATATGCTCTGACCATTTCCAGAACACTGAAGGTTGTTCTGGAAACCCCTTTGTATGTTCTAGTCATTCATTGCTAGATGGCAGCACAGGAATGTTAGAGAGAAATGTTCTAGTGAATGTTATACCTTTGGTACACAATGGAAGAGGAATTCTTGATTTAATATTTTACTTTTTAGTTTGAATGTGACTTGTACAGTCTGAAACTCAGCTTTAATTGATAGATTAGATATTAACTATTATCTGACTTATTTCTCTTCATGTCTCTTTTCATCATTTGAAATGGAGATAATGGTATAATCTATTTCAGGGATATTTTGAGAAGTACATGAAATAATCCATATGAAGAATTTATCCCAGTAAATGTCTCTTAGCAAGTGTCAAGTAAATGTTAGCCAATATCCTTTTCATTGACAGTATCATTATTGTCATCACTGAACTCCTTTGAACCCCTTTCTTATAGACAGGTGATAATGCAGTAAGGAGATTTGGTTCTCATGCATGTGCATAGCACTCATAGGAGATGATGCTGTCCTTTCTGTCTGTTTGGGACAGAAAACTGTCTTGAGAGGAGCAGGAGTGGATTTAGGTGGGACTCACATCAGGATATTGGCCCGCTTTGTTTTTAGCTACATGGACTCTTAAGTGTTCAGACAGAATAGAGAACAAGGGGAGGAGATTTAAACTAAATATCTTTTAACTACTGGAGGGAGAAATGTCAGTCAGTCACAATTTTGAAAGCTCAGAGAATTCAGTCTCTGGGGTTCTAGCTACATAAAGAAGTGGAAATACTTAGGTTTAAAAATAAGAATACAAAGCTACTCAGGAGCTTGTGAAACTGCACAATCTCTGACCCCATCCCCAAAGTACTATCCCAGAATCTATATTTGAACAAGATTCCTTGCACTTTACACAGTGAAGTTGGAGAAGCATTGTGACACTCTGGGATGAGATTGAGTAGGTGAGAAAAGGGATAGTACCAGTGGGGCTAATGATATGTACATGGTCTCCAGGTATATATAGAACCAGACTCTATGAGAGTGAAGGCTTAGGAGTATGAGTCTTAAGATCCTTGGGAATTTTTATGAACACTAGAATTTGTGGATCAAATGTAAGACATAAAAACTGTACTAAAGTGAGAAGAGGTAATATGTGCTATGAACACCAGCTGTCACTAGTCTACAATTTAGTAGTTCCCAAAGAAGAGAATTATTACATGAACATTTTCTACATGTGAGGGAAAAATTAATTCTAAATTAACACATTTATGTCATTTTGAGCTCCTACTAAAGATTTCTAGAACATATAAATGGGCTACAAAGAATAGTAGCTACAGAGTTAGAGAGGTTGGGTGCATGTGAAAAGGCCTGTGTCAGAAGAATAATGTCAAACTGTACTTGGAGAAATAAAGCAAATACTTTGGGGCTTAAAACCCAAACTGGACTAAAAAGTTTGAATGTATATGGGGCAGATCAGAGGGTAACTTTTTTATTTTCCTGCCACAATGTTAGTTTTATAATGAGTTTGCCAGATGCTTAATGTTCATCTGCAGCTAGGGATTACAAGTCTTTTGTAGAGTTCACACTCTTTTTCTTTCTTTGTGGATACTGTACCTCCTGAGAGAGGTGGATTCAAGTTCTGGCTTTTCCATACAACGCTATGTGGATCATATGGCTAGAGGTGTGGCTCAAACGGTAGAGTGCCTGCTTAGCAAACACGAAGCCCTGAGTTCAAATCCCAATCCCACCAAAACAAACAAACAAAAACAGCTCTATGTGGATCACAGTGATAATTCCTTGAAGTGGTCATAGAAATGCCACACAAGGATCCAGAAAATAAAATAAATCTGAAATGCTTTATTAATCGTAAATGATTAAATAAGTGCAAAGTATTTTGATGCTTGGGACTTGGCTTTCATAGTTAATCTTGGAATTCCATGAAAGCACCATTTTCATGCATAAAAATGTCTCTGACTCTGTCAGCCTCATTATTTTTCCCAGTAGCATTTGTTCCACTCCAAACAGGATTGTCCAGTGAACTATAGGACATTCAGTTATATTTGAATTTTAAATAAACAATGAATAGTTTTTAAGCATAAGAATATCCCAAATAGTGCATGACAATACAGCACATATAACTCCAAGACCAATTTAAGAATGCTGTCTTATTCTTATGCTTTATATATCAACTTCATTTAAAGATTCACATCTTCTGTGTTACATGATCATGAAAAAACAATAACTTGAAGATGAGAATGTAGGTGTAAAAATGCTTTCAGAGAAATTGTTGCTATCTGAAAGCTTAATCTCCAAAAGATTTTCACAATTTCTTTCTAGAAGTGGCTCAAATGTATCTTCAAAGTTGCTTAGAAAGAAATGAGGGGGAGGAGGGGAGAGGGTGGGAGAGGGGACGGGGGGAGAAATGAGCCAAACAATGTACGCACATGTGAATAAGTGAATAATGATAAAAAAAGAAAAATTGTAACCACCAGACCACTGAAAGCATCTTCTCTTGTCCTATTTGGAAAATTTATGTCGTAAATAATTAAATAATTGTATTAATATTAAGTAAATTTCATTCTAGAGGATGAATTAAATTAAATTTATTTAATTTTGTTTTATTTTTAAGCCTATGCAATCCCCAAAATTGTCATTTTAAATTGAAATAGTGATCTACTTAATCATATTCTAAAGTCAAACATATTATACTATGAAGTGATTTTGAATTAAATCCTTTAGTTGAACAAAAAAAGAAATAGGGCCTCTTAAGTTATGAAGATTTGGGATAATTTTTATTTCTGTTGTATTCTGTTACTCTGCTTATTCCTTCTCTGTCTCATTCTGAGATTGAGGGAATAAGAGGGAAAAGGTGAACTTCAAAATGAAACAATTGTAAAGCCTCTCAAATGTTGGTGCTATGAACAATTCTTGTGCATTTCTTATGCAGACTTTCTTTTATTTTTCATGTAGAAAGCTAAAATTAAAATAATCAACTTTATATAGAGATATGATAATAATGAAGGAAAGTAAGGAGAAGGAAAGATGGGAGTTTAATGCATGCCAAGTGGAATAATCATCCTGAGGAACAGTTTGTAATATCACGGTACTTGAAGATAATCCATCAAATGCAAGTTTAGCTACAATAAATAAGTCTCTAATTACACTTTCACAGATGTATCCTGAGGTAGGGTGAGAAACCAGACTAAGGATCCTGACAGAGGATGTAGTGAATGGGCAAGTCTAACAGGAAATCTTTGGTGCATGACTGAGGAAAACTGTCCTAAGAAAAAGACCCTAAAGACTCCACCAAAAACTCCTAGATCTGATTAACACCTTTGACAAAATAGCAGGTGATAAAATTAATACGCAGAAAATCAGTACCTTTTCTACATATCAACAATGAACAGGCAGAGAAAGAGATTAGGAAAGCAATTCCATTCACAATAGCCTAAAAAATATGTAGGAATATATTTAACTGAAGAGTTGAAAGCTCTTTACAATGAAAACTCCAAAACACTGAAGAGAGAAGCTGAAGAATCTCATGGCTGGCAGAATTCATATTGGGAAGGGTTTGTGCTGAAAGCAATCTGCAGATTCAATGCAATCCCTATCAAAATCCCAATGTCATTCTTCACACATACAGAAAATTCAGTCCTAAAATTAATATGGTTGCATAAAAGACCCTAAATAACCAACGCAATCTTGAGCAAAAACAACAATGTTGAAAGTATCTCAAAACAGGACTTCAAATTATATTACACAGCCATAGAAACAAAAACAGCATGATACTGGCAAGAAATCAGACATAAACAAAGGTAACAAAATAGAAATAAATTCATAAAGCTACAGACATTTGATTTCTGACAAAGAGCCTAAAACATACCTTGGAGAAAAGATAGCATTTTCAACAAGTGCTACTGGAAAGACTGGTTATCTATCTGCATGTAAAAGACTGAAAATAAACTCCTATTTCTTCTTGTGTACAAAAATCAATTCAAAATGGAGCAAAGATCTTAACGTAAGACCTTATACTTTAAAGCTATGATTGGAAAATTCTTGAAGATGTTAGGCATAGGTAAGTATTTTCTGAATAGGACTCCAATCACCCAGAAAATAAGAACAAGAATTAACAAATGGTACTGCATCAAATGAAATCATTTCTGCACATCAAAAGAAATAATTATTTTAATTTAAAAATTAAAATATAATTTATTTTAAAAGGGAGGGAGGGGAATTAAGGGAATAAAATAGAGGGGATGAAATTTCTTAAAATACATTGTATACATCTATGGGATTGTTACATGAAACCCACTTGAGCCATTAATGAATCCTTTATAATAAAAATAAAGGAAAAAAAGAAAAAAGAAAAAGAAATGTCACTATTGGGCTTACCTGACTCTGGCCACTAGATGTCGACATACGATTTTAAAACTTAGGATGGTTGAACTGAACTAGTGGGAGAAGTCTCAGGAGATAAGGTTTTGTTTCCTGCTGTTAACACAGCAACTTATGGTAGAATGTTCTTTCAGCTGTGATTTTATGAATCTTCAGTAGAGACAGGAAATATTTCAGGCTCTGTTTGGATTTTATTCTCTTTTCCTTTTCTTTCATTCTAGGACTGGTCACTGCACGTTTCCTTAAAGGACTTAATCAGTCTCATCCAGAGATGGTGAGATTGTTTAATTGGCAGTTGGGACCATTAGAAGGAGCCAGGAGATCAGAGGGACACTGAGCTGAGGTGATTTGAGCATGAGGGTAAGATTATATCCCTAGCCTATACGCCATCAGCAAGAACATTTGCTAATTTGCGGACAAATTGCAATGGGAATATCCCGGAAACATTGAAGGCCTGGTGACTTGCCATTTGAGGAGAATAGGCACTTCTGTAGCCCACAGGAGTATTAATGATCATGCTACTCTTTTGTATAAAGTTCTTGCTTTCTATGTAACTTGATAATGGTTATTAATTGCTTAAAGAAGCTCTTGGCTTTAAAAAAATTATAATCTTGTATCAGGCAAAGTTTTAATTTTTGCTGGCATTTCTAAGTTCTAAGGAAATTATATGCATATCAAATGAACTTTGAAACTTTTTTTCTTATTGTTTTGGGCATTTTCTATACTTCCTCATGTATTTTACCCTTCTCCTACATAAGTAAAGCAGAATTATTTAGTTAGAATTTGCAGATGGAATTGTCAAGCCTATGTTCTCAGAAATAGCCTTGGATGCAAGTTAACTTTTGTGATGCAATTGGTGTATCCCTCCTGCTTTTGTTTGCTTGGTTTTATCTTTACCCATCTTTTCACATTATCTACCCATAGCCAAACTGAAAATACTTATTCACAATTCAGTATTTCTTACTTTTAAAAAAAATCACCAGCTGGTATGCCCTTTCTCCCTCCTCTACTTATAACAAATGTGGCTCTTTCAAAATTTTGCTGTCTCTGGGTAAGTCACAAAAGTCTCCTGCTGCCTGGAACTTGTATACAATTTTTCCTTAATATCTTCAGAGGTTTGTTCCAGGATCCCTGTGAATAACAGTCAATGGATGCTCAAGTCCCTTTTACAAAATATATGTGTAGTACTTTCATGTATTCTATATACATCCTTGCCTGTATTTTAAATCATCTCTATATTACTTATAATATCTAATACCATGTTAATGTCATGTAAATAGTTGTTATACTATCTTGTTTAGGGAATGACTAGAAAAAATGTCTGTACATGTTCAGTACAGATACAATCTTTTTCAAAATATTTTCTATTCATTGTTGAATCCATGCATGTGGTACCCATGGATAAGGACCAAATGTAATGTGCTCACTTTAACTTTTGATTGTAACCTAATCTTTGTTGCTTTTTTTTTTTTTTTTTTGGTTTTTACACATATGTTCATAATTATACCCCTAGCTGTTTGAGGGTAGGGACTATACCACAATGACATCAAGCAATTGGTATTTATTGTATGTACATTCTTAAGATAACCATCTTTTATTCATTTAGTATAGAATATATTCAAGAAATGCATGTTGAGATAGTTGAGGAACTGATTTAAAGTACTCAGCTGAAGTCTTAGGTCTTTGATAATATTAGAATGTGACACCTATTCTGAAAAACCTGGTAGTCATCAGCAAATATCTTATAAAAACTAGCTCAAGCCTTATCACTTCCATGACAATTTCTCTTAGTCAACACAATACTTATTTCTCCTCTACAACTGATTCTCCTGATTCCAGATTACTAAAGTGTCTCATTATATGGACATTGCAGAAGTACTTTAGGATTATATCTGTAGATTGAGGATAATAACATATTACCTACCTACTTAGGGCTATGGTGATTAATGACTTAATATATATAAAATACTTTGAATTATTCTTTCATATAATAAGTGACTGATTGATGTTTCTAATTATTACTATTGGTATGATTAAATAACATTGTTCAATTGTTTCCTTCCTACCAACTACATTCTAAATTCTTTGGTGGCACAGATCTTCTTTCTAATGTGTGTGAATCTGTTGTGAGGTCCTCTTTTTATTCCCAATGTAGGTGATTTGTGCCTCCTTTTTTTTTTTCTTTTTCCATTTACTCTAATTAGAGATTTATCATTTCATGATTTTCATCATAGTATTAGCTTTTGGTTTTGTTTATTTTCTACTGTTTTGTTATTTTCATTACATTGATATCTACTTATTATTACTTTCTTCTGTATACTTGCTTTGGTTTTAAATTTCCATTCTTTTTGTAGTTTCTTAACTGCAGAAATTCGTTTGAGATCTTTCCTTTTTTCAAATGTAAGAATTTACTATAATTTCTCCTCTAAACTATCATTTAGGTGCATTATACCCATTCTGATGTGTTATGTTTTCATTTAGTTCAAACATTTTCCATTTCCTCTTGTCATTTCTTCTTCAGCCATGAGTTATTTATAAATGTGTTTAATTTTCAAATATTTGGAGATTTCCCAAGTACCTATTGATTTCTAGTTTAACTCTTTTGGAGAAAGGGAACAGATGTTGTATAATGTCACTTTTCCAAAATTTATTAAGACTTGTGTTGTGATACTGAATTTCATGAATGCTTAATATGTTCTTAAAATAGCTGTGTATTGTTTTTGCTGGGATAGTGTTTTGTAAGTATCCAATTAGGTCAAGTGAGTTGACACTGTTGTTCAAGTCTTTTATATCCTTCAGAACTTTGGATTCCTTACTCTATCAACTACTGAGAGAGAAGCATCAGTCTCCATGCACAGTAGTTCCCCCACCTTAGCCACAGAGGATATGCTCAAAGAGTCCTACTCAATGCCTAAGACTGCAGATAGTCTCAAACGCTACGTATACTGTGCTTTTTCCTATCATGCATGCCTCTTAAACACTTTCATCTTTTCACTTTTTGGCTTTTCTTTGTCATGTTCAAATGGCCAGCATCACTTTGGGCCATTATCAAGTAAAATAGGTCTTACTTGAACCCAAGCATTGCAATCCCTGGCAGTCTGATAAACAAGATGGCTATTGCGTGACTAATGCATGGGTAGTGCACACAGCATGGGTATGCTGGAAAAAGGGATTCCTATATTGGACACAACAGAGTGGGGCAGTGTGAGATGTCCTCATGTCACTCAGAACGTTGTGCTATTTAAAGCCCCTGAGTTGTTTCTTTCTGGAATTTTTCATTTACTATTTTCACACCATGGCTGACTGTGGGTAACTGAAACTGAAGATAGAGAGACTACAGATAAGGGGGAAATTCTCTATAATGGAATATTTCCTGTGTCTTCTTTCAAGTCTGTCAGTTTTACATTTTGTATTTTTGGTTTGGGTACTATGGCCTGAACTCAGAGCTTGTGCTTGCTAGGCATGCACTCAGCCATTTGAACAATGCCCCCAGCCCTACATTTTGTATTTTGAAGTACTTTATGTAAGAATTATATTAGTTATTCAAACTGACATAACACAATAATATAGACTAGGTTACTTAAATACCATATACAGCAAAGAAAGAAAGGTGTCATGTTTCTTCCTTTTTTATATGAGTACCAGTTCTAGGGACTGGGAAAGTAGTTCAGTGGTAGAGTGCTTGTCTAGCTCTGGGTTCCATACCCATCACAGACCCCCCTGAAAAAAAACAAAAAAAGAAAAAGAAATAACAGGTCTAACAGAACAAGGCTCAACACTCATGACCTCACTTAATCCTGATCACTTTTTTAAAGGCCCTGATCAGTATAGTCACACAAATGGGTACATGATTTCAACATATGAACTTTTGGTGGGGGGGGTGACAATTCAGTACATTGCAGGTGTATAAACAGAATTAATTATATGTCCTTGATGAATTAACTTCTTAATTGCAATGAAATATCCTTCATGATACCATTCCTCGTTCTGAGGAGTTTCTGAAAACTCATAGAACTTAAAGTACTGCTCTCAGTATTTCAGATGCAGTAACTGAAGTTCAGTCAGGTTATTACATTTGTGTCTGCCAGGCGAATGGCAGGAAGGGACAAAGTACAATTCTTTTGCCAAGTGCCTCAATAGTTTGTGTAGTGGGATAGGTAAATGAAAGGCAACTTTAATTTTCTGACTTCAGATCACAAGAATTTATGTTTAAATTCCTAATAGATAAACACATAATTGCCTTTCAACTCATTTTTGCTTAAAGACCGTTTCTTCTTCTCTTACAATTTTGCTTTGGTACATTGCTTTAGCTTTGATACAAATCCCTAGAGATTCATTGCAGAATTTAGTATCTAAATCTTCCTTTAAAAGAGTACAGCATTTTTAGGAGTATAGTAATACCATTCAGAAATGAAATAAATGTACACACATGAATATGTGTATATAGCTTCAATTTCTATAAAGGATTATAATTTTAATATTTGTCTTTTAACGTGTCTTGAATTTTCAGATAAAACTACTTTCTATCATTGTGCACTTAGAGATATTTTTCTAAGAAATAATATGTAAAAACTCTGCTGTTTCAGAGTTTGCTGTGGTTTTCCAATGTTACAGGGAATATATTGCAAGAAAATTTCTCTTTTGTGGCAGTTTAAACTGTCTTTAAAAAGTGTTTTTTATATCTCTGATTACTATATCTTACTGTTAAATAATTTTTAAAAATTCTGTAAGAAAATATTCAGGATTGGTAGAATATTTTCATTTATTGGCCAATTACAGATTCTAACCATGATTCTTAATAAATGTTTCTTTGACATGAATTTTCAAATAGGAATGAATTATAATGAATCTGCTTCTCTAAATTGAAGAAGCATTTAAAGCCAAATGATCCAATTACAGGTTTATTTTAAAAATGAATGAGTTTGAAAGCTTTTTAGCTCTTTAAGATGCTATTGTTCCCTTTACAGAATGTCAGGAAGGTAATCAATCTTACTTTGATTAGCCTTGTACCTTGTCTTCTCTTT